AGATGAAGCAGCCGCGATTATATGCCAAGATGCAGGTCAAAGCAGATGTTGCGAGCACCACACGCTATGAGCCATGACTGGTTCATCATCCTCCACCCTATGGCCACGGAGGTCTTGTACGTTGTGTAGTCTCTCAGACCCGGCAGGCGCCTCGGATCTGCATCAATGACGTCATGCCAGGAGGATCATCATTTCAAGATGTGTGGAATTGAGTACGAAATAAAAGCTCCAGCGGAATAAGAACAGAGCCAGGAGTGTGTGCTTTGTAGACCGCACTAATTACGATCAACTGTCACTATGAAAATAAATTCGCACCATCCATGGTTGAATGCAGTCAGCTGAAACATACTAAAATTTGCACTATTTTTTTTAATAAAAATATGAAAATGCTTAACAGGATTAATAAATGTTATATTTAGATAAGTGCAAATAAATTATATTTTATATCTGAAGTGAGTTGAATATTATTAAAAGCTTTAATGAAATACTCAATATTATATTTAATGTAAAATAATTGCAGAAGAGAATGAAATTCTCAGAAGAGTAGGTTTGCTTTCAAGTACTGAAAACTTACTGGTAATTTATTAATAATAAATATTTTTAAATTTAAAAAAAATATATTTTTTAATAATTTGCAACATCAAAGTAAACGTTTAGATGTGTAGGATAAATTATCAAAATTATACATTAAATTAAATTTATTTAAAATTCATCATTAAAAAATCCTTTATATTGAAAACAAATCAAAATTTTTTTAATTAAAATAAAATAAGAATGTTTTAAAAATAAAACAAAGCATTCTGGCTTGAACAGTAAAATATGTAATACTCACGATCACATTATAGAAACACGTGATGCGCTGCAAGCAACAAAAAGCCGGCCGGCCTTTTGACACGGTTTGCGTGTTCTGCTGGTTCAAAACACTTTCGCACACTAGATGCACCAACCGACCGACCGACAGCATCCCAATCTCAAGAGCAGGTAGTGCGTTAAGGTCTCCGGCGAGTCGAGTGTGGTACATGAACGTGGTGCTTCCCTTCTTAATGGTTCGGCCTGTGTTGAGACGTTGAGAGAGCGGGGGCAACCCCTCTCGGCACAAAAGAGGCGTCCTTGGTTCGGCCTTGCCTGAGTGACGATGGCGAGGGCTTCCCTCAGTTATGCGAGGAATGTGACTTGCACAAAAAACATCTACGCTCGGTCTCTGTGTTGGATTATAATAATTGATAGATGGCCATTCATGTTCCGCGGCACAAGAGGAAGAGTTGAATAGGCTCTTAAGTAAAATTCGCGGCACTCACGCAATCGTGAAACTGAACCGGAGCCAACGATTCTTCGAAATTTAAAATATTTCAATGGAGGAACAATTTTATTAAAAAATATAATGATATAATTAATCATTTGATTGAAAGATGGACAAGCTAATTTTAATTTTTTTAATTAAAATAAAATTTGAAAAAATCTCAGTTGATCATTTTGTTGATAACTAAACACTGTAAATAACAAAAAAAAATGTTATTCATGTATATTACTTTTTCCCCTTTTTTAAAATTAAGTTTTATTAGTTTCATACAAATTATTACTCCGCCTGGTAAAATTAAAATCAATCTTTGCCCCGCATATATTTATTCATTCTTTCTTTTCACCTTTCTCGATTAATACTTTTTATAAAATTTAAGAAAAATATTATAAATTTGCTTGTTTGAAACAATTTAAAAATAAAATTACTGACCTGCCCAGTTAGTCCTGTCTGGCAAAAATACTTATCCCTTCTCTTTTAAATCAGTTTTGCAAATGATTTAAAATAAGTAATTATAATAAATTAGGACCACTTTTCCTGCAAAAGCCAAATTTCGCGCCTGCATCTTACAAAAACCCACTAAAATGCAAATGAAGTCATAAAAATAAAAACGATTTCCAACCGAGCAGACCTGTTTGCACAAAAAGTAAAAAAGCGCGCCGAAAATTTATTTGGCCGCTCTCACCAGGCGCTGAGTGAGTGAGATTTGGTTACCTGGCGAGTGAAGCAAGCAAGAAAGGATTGCCTAAAAAGTCGCCTGCCAATGAACCAGTCGAGATAGAGCCGGCCGAGGGTTGTGTGCCTCTCGCGCAGAAATAAAGAAGAATCAGCGAGGAACAGTTGTTGTAACTGCTCGAGGGCCTTGAATGGGCGCCATCCAGCCGAGTTATTTAACCACACACAAAAGCAGGAGGGACATCTCTTTCTGCAGAGGAGGTTCCGCGCCGAAATTCGTTACATTCGTGTGGGGGTGAAAAGAGAAGCTCGGCAAAAAAGCCGGAACGCAGAGTAAAAAATTAATTCTCTAATTCATATATAAATAATAATATGATAGAGAGACGCTTGAGAAAATTTCACTCTCGTCGTCTGAATTTGATATTTGCTAAAGGGGGACGATATAAATCAAACGCGGGGCAGCTCGCGAGTCCTGAAGGGTAGCGCTTTTTGCTCCGAGTTCGACGCCAAATGCATTGTGCTCCGGAGCAAAAAGATTATCCTTGATGCTAACAGGATGTGCCGACTTTTGGCGAATCATTTTTTACAGCTCCTCTGATTGTGCGCTGTGCAGAAAAAACACTCCTTTTCGTCAAACGACCTACAGAAATAATGGCATAATGGAGCAGCGTGCTATTCTTGGTTTTCCCATTTTTCTCTCGCGTGACTTTTCGCAAACAATCCAGTGACTGTTATGAGCCTCAATCGGGAAAACAAAAGAATAAACAACTAAAAGGAAAAAGGTTTGCTTTTATAGTCGGTTTTTTTAATATCAAACAACAACTTGTTATTAAATTGTTCAGATTTATTACAAACCCCTGCAGAAAAGAAAGGTATGCAACCTTCGTATCTACCGTATAAAAACGGTTGCATAATTCTAATTCTCTTTAGTAAAGGAGTCGGAAAAATTTTGGAGATAAAATATTTATCCGATTCCGATTGTGCCGAAGCACATGAAATTGGTGCGGCTGAGAGGTGAATGTGTTTTTAGTCGGGCGGCCCCTGATCAAGTGCAAGGTTGCTGTGAATCACTTTTCTACAAGCGCACAACACGCAGGCCTCCACACCTTGGCAGTGATCTTTGCAATTTCAATGCTAAATAATATCTCAAATCTCAACTGGCGGAAAAAGTAATATTTCGCGAATTTTGCACTTGGGCATTGTTGTAATATAATTTACCTGTGTATTCGGACATGCGGAGCTGGAGCGGCAGGTGTGACGTCACTCATCTTCATTACTTTTGTAGCAGTTTCGAATTGAGCGACCAAAGACGGCCTTGGCGTATAGGCAAAAAAGAGCGCGCGGGATGAAGAATTTTAGGTATGTGAGAGGTGCGCACGGAATGCAGTCCATCCAGACAGGGCACACATATGGAGCCGGTGCCGGCCGACATCCTTTTTCGCCAATTTACAGCATCCACCCACTCAACCGATTTTGCCAGTATAAAGCGCCACGGCGATCAAAAGAGTAGAATATTGTAAATTGTATTTGCCTTGCATATAATGAAAGATTTCTAATTAAATAAAAAAAAACTTTTTGAAGATTGAAATATAATTTAAAAATTTCTCGTAAAATAAGTTAAAATAACTTTTGCTCTTTAACTATGCTCAAGAAAGAAAAAATTAAATACTAATGTTTGGATTATTTTTTTTTTTTCAAATTTCAACGATATTTTTTTTACATCATAGTCAAAATAATTATAAAAATTTAAAAATAGAACCATTTTTTAGTATTTGTATAATTAATATTAAATTTTTGCAACATTAAGAAACAAAACAAAAATAATAGCTCCGCCAATTTCCTTATTAAATAAATAATTTTTAACATTAATAATTTTAAGCCCGTGAACACAAATTAAAAACGGCAAAGAGCAAACAACGGTGACAGATCAACATGCAAAACTTAAGAAGTGTGAGAATTATTGTTGCACAGGCAGCTCTCGCACCGCAGCGCGCGCGATCAATTACATTAACACCAGTATATAGAAAGAAAAATAACGATTTTGCACGGGAGCGAATTATCCTAGATTGTTGGTAGGATCAGATTAGCGAGGAATGTGACAGTGCCGCCGCCACAACAGCTAGCAGCTCAATCGACCTCCAGACCCGACGGCGCGAGGTGCTTAGATGGCGCCTGTCTTTGCAAATTTTTTGCCTGTTTCTTCTCGCGAGAGAGCAATCCTCACACACACATGATGAGAAAACGCCGGCCGCGTGTTGCTGCGGTGGAGGAGGAACGATTCTCTCTTCTTCTCCCTCACTCGCTCTTTCCTATCCTGGCGCCCTGTTGCTAGCGCTAGGACAAGAGATCTTCTAATAAAAAATTTCAGAGAGAGACCTCGTAAAAAAAGTTAATGATGAAATTGTTTTAGAATATAATATATGCGGCATTAAGATTTTTTAGAAAGCGTTCTTCCCCAATACCACCGTGGCTCATGATGATAATAGGTTGCACATTAAATGAAACTTTTTGAACTTACTATTTTTCCAAAATAGATAGCAACGAAAATATAATGTACATTACATAATGTACTTTTAGATTTATCTGAAATTTTAAATTAAAATATTATTATATAAAGTGTCAAGCAAGATTTATATGCCCTATCTCTCATTATTTGTATAAACGTACCATAAAAAATTGAGACCTTTTTTTATAAAAACGACAAAATCTGTCAACATTTAAAATTTTAAATTTATCTCCATTCTCCAGTATTATTCTTCTTGATGCTCCACCAGCAATTCGCTGTTAAAATCCCCGGCAGATTATGCAACCAGTGTGTTTTTTTTTTAAATTTAAACCGGTAATCTAAATTACTAGTACCGGTTTAACATTTTATCGATTTCAATTATATAATTACTGCACATACATGTTTAATGTGAAAATTTGAACATTCTTCTAATTTTAAACATATATTTAGCACATATTTCACGCACTTTCATCTTTTATTGGTGTATAATTAGGCTTATTTTGTCATTGTTTTAGTTTTCAGATACCGCAATAACCGGTTGTTCAGGTATTTCTTACCGTTTTGTGACGTCATCGCTGACGCAGTTGTTGTTGGACGTGAAACGTGAAAGAAAATTGTTTTCAGTAAGCCGGCTTTTTTGTTTCTCGTCAAGGATTCGGTTCCGAGAAATTGACGGTTCGACGTGATTTCTCAAAATTAACGTTCATTTACACTTCTCTTTGTAGACTCCACACAAGGCAGCTGGATATTTGGTCTTGAGCGGTAGCAAGATACACATTTTGGTGGCCTAAAATTTTCAGCAACATGGACTCGGCACAAATTAGCAAAATCTTCTTGGATTTCCAAGAATTCATCAGTCAAGAACAGGATTTGAAAGAGGTAAACATGAGAATATGATCAAAATAATGAAACGAAGGAGTACATTAAAGTTCTGACAGAATCCTGATATTTATTTGCAAATGAAATTTAGTTACTGCGGCCCCTTGTATATATTTTTATAAGTAAAGTGTTTTGTTTTTTCAGCAAATTCGTGGTGTGATCAAAGATCTTGAGCAGCAATCAAGAGAGATTTTGATGGTTTTGCAGGACATTCATCAAAATCCAGCCCAGAGTGATGGTATGCATTATTTTGTTAGAAAAAGTTCCACAAATTCTTAACAATTTTTTTAAGTTTTGGTGTGCTGCGAAAAAGCACGAGGCTTCTTTGGGCAGTTGAAGGAAAAGTACTCAGAACTTGCAGCTATTGTGCCTGCCAACCAGTTCTACCACTACAATGACATGTGGCGATTTGTGAACCAAAGACTGACTTTTCTGATCTCACTCACAATTTTCCTGGAGACTGGAAAACTTGCTAGCAGAGAGCAAGTTGCAGACATATTAGGCTGTAAGTATTTTTTTTACTGTCATAATTAATAAGCTTAAATGATCAAAGGATCGTGAAATAAATTTAACCTTCTCTTTGTATTCTAGTGGAAATTTCAAGGGAGAAAGGGTTCCATTTAGATCTGGAGGATTATCTGACTGGACTTCTGCATATGGCAACTGAGTTGGTAAATAAATTAGTTTAAAATGGTTATTAAATTTATTGTCAAATTTTAATAACTTTTAATTTTCCAGGCGAGATTTGCCACCAACAGTGTCACAAATGGCAATTATGAAAGGCCCATTGAAATATCAAAGTTTGTATCTGAGTTGAATGCTGGATTCAGGTTGCTTAACCTGAAGAATGACTCTTTGAGAAAGAGGTTTGATGCTCTCAAGTATGACGTCAAGAAAATCGAGGAGGTCGTCTACGATCTTTCCATTAGGGGTCTTCGTCCATCACAGCCGACTGAATAAGTCGACCATTTTCTATTCAAACTACCATTTTTATTTTTTCAAAATAAAGTTGCTTCGTTGCACTTTTAGTACACAGTACTTCTAAATGTGGACTCTTAAAATTTATCAAAATAAGCATTTAAAACAAAACTTGCGATTTTCCTGGCCATATTCAACAGGATTTGCTCGGTGTATGTCGTTTTCATGGAAAGTTTGGCTAAAAAAAGACTAAACGTATTTTATTGTTTAATTGGTTGGTTTGAACTTTGAGGTAAATTTAAAACATAAGAACAATTTGGGCACCTTTAATTAACGACAATTGCGATTCTATTCAAATTTTGTCTAAAAATTAAAAAATATAGCTTTGCATTTTAAAATAGATAAAGTTTAAAGTGTTTTGTTGGCAGCGCAAATCTGCAAGCTTCATTTTCACTTTGTGAAATATAGAAATTGGAGTATGGGAAAAAGATAATGGGAGATGGAAACATATATATTTCTTTCATACACTTACAATGGAACGAATCGAACTTTTATAAAAATAACGTACAATTTTCTTAATTTTTCTTTCTTAATGATCTATTATTTAAATGAAATCAATACTTTTTGCTTTAAAACACCACAAAGAAATTGAGTTTTTAAGTTTTTTTTTTAGAGAAAATTATTGTTTCATGCCTGGTGCTCCAAGGTCTGCTCTTTACAAAAATTACAGCAAATTTGTTGCTGAGCGCTTCTGATTTCGTACTAATTTACTTGTACACTCAATCAGAGGGATTAAAAAAACAAAAATTTCAAGTGTCATTGTTGTGATGTTCCTTGCCCAAAATTTTGGCGACTGGGGAAGAGGGAATTTGCAGGCTGCTATTTTTAGATAATTATTTTTTCCAGAATTTGGTGTAACTGTTGTGAAAATAACTTAAAAAATGGTTGAAATATTGAACCAGAAGGTAAAAAAACCTTTATTTTGTTCTAATCCAAAAAAATTAAGTTTTATTTTCTATATTGGCGGCTGTGACCTTACAAAATATTGAACTTTGATAATTAATTTTTATTTTTTTCCAATTTTAAACATTTGCTTTAAATAGATTGATACTTGATACATAAATAAAATAATCAATTATAGTCCTAGTTCAAGTTAAAGCGGAACTACCAGGGTGCCGTCACCCTGGAAGCACACAATCACTCCCCCTCCGAGTATCGCATGGGAAAATGGGCCATGCCACCCCCCTGTGGAACAAGGTTCCAGCGGAACGAAAAGGGTCATACGTACATCGTTTTTTATCGCGCCGCCTGCAAAGCTGAAAACGAAAAAACATTTAAAGATAATTTTCTCTCGGTAATATATCAAATAAAACGTGGTCATACATTTTTTTGTTAAATAATAATCATTTACTTTTTAAAAATACGTTGAAAAAATCGCAAAAAATTTTCTTTCCCATTTTAAAAGTTGACAATGCAACGATAACTTGGGCTATTTTTAAATTTTTCTTTATAAATTGACACTAAAAATAAATAATTATGGAATGCTGATGTTACCGCCACTACAATTCAAATTGTTTCCCGCTTCAATCAATGATGATTGTGAATAGCCGCATTTCCATCAATGAGATTATGTAAAGCCCCTGAAAACTACATTTTAATATAAAATAATAATTTTCAATATTAATTTTAACCAATAATCGCATGATAATTTATGTTTAAAGTGTTTGAAGGTGGAATAGTCGCTATGTTGACTTGGACCAACGCACTAGTGGAAGAGCTTCCCGCGCGCCGCATTGCATTTTGGGAGAATCAAGATGGTCTTAAATCGCCAAGATGGCGATGAGTCTAAGGAGATATAGTTTGGTGTTTGCATGCAGTTTTTTCTAAAAGTTAACTGAGTGCACGTTAATTGTCATCATGGGTAGAAACTAGAAGTATCTAAGTTTAAGTTCAACCAGGGCAAGGACCCTCAGTGGCCGTCTGAACAAGCCCTTGTGCTCTTTTTTCGCGGCGTTCAGTGTGTGCTTAGCCTGTCAACAACCATGAACAAGCTCTCATTTCGGGCCAGGGCCCTCGATGCCTCGAAGCCCATGCCCATTTACATGTCGGAGGAATTGCCCGATCTTCCGGAGTATTCGGCAATCAATCGAGCAGTCCCCCAAATGCCGAGTGGGATGGAAAAAGAGGAAGAATGTGTAAGTTTTAGGCCTTTTTCAGTAGCGTGCTCGGGAGGCCATCTTGAATTGGCGCCATATTCAAATTTTTCAAAAATCGACTTGGACTTTTATCGAATTTCAGTCATATTTTGGATTGTCAGTCGAAATTTCTGTCGGCAATCTACTCTTCAACATAAAATTATTTTTACAAGTCGTATTCCAGACTTAAAATCTATAAAATTATATTATTTTGTCAAATAATAACATTTTGGCGGCACTTAAAAATTGTTTGAACGTTTTTACTGTTTTTAACATGAAACTGAACTTAAGATGGAATTTATTGAACTTGAAAGATGGTTGGAATATTCAAAATTATATTTATTTACTTTATAATGGTTACATCATTTCAATTTGCTTTGCAGGAACATCATCTTCAGAGAGCAATATGTACAGGCATCATTATACCCACACCTGAAGTTATTGACATTGTTGAGAGCACAACCTTTGAATCGTTATACCCGGCCGACTACAAAATGCCAAAGCAACTTATACACATGCAACGTAGATACCAAATTTTCAAAATTAAAAAAAAAATCTTACAATGTTCTTTTTTTAGCATTCCTTATTGATCAAGAAGTCCCGGAATATGACATGGATTCAGAGGATGAGGCGTGGATTAAAGAGCAGCAGTCCAAGAAGATGGACATATCTCCTGATAAAGTAAACCCCACCGTGTGTTTAATTTTGTTTTTATAAAACTCTGATTTTACTTATGGCAGTTTGAGGAGATGATGGACCGTCTCGAAAAGGGCTGTGGCCAGACCGTTTTGGAACTGAATGAGGCTAAAACATTGCTCAAGGAGGATGATGACCTCATTGTAGCTGTTTACGACTACTGGTTGACAAAACGTCTAAACACAGTAATGACCTGCGCCGTGTTCTCGAGCCGCCCAATTTAATAAATTGCATTGCTCTGTCAGGCCCATCCTTTGATACCTCAAGTCAAAACGGAGACTAGATTGCCAGGTGCAGCGACCAACAATCCTTACCTGGCGTTTAGGCGACGCACCGAAAAGATGCAAACTCGAAAGAATCGTAAAAATGATGAGGCCTCGTATGAGAAGATGCTTAAGTTGAGGCGGGATCTGTATCGTGCAATTTCGCTCCTTGAGCTCATCAAACGAAGGGAAAAGTACAAACGCGAAAACCTGCATCTTGCCATTGAAATTTATGAAAAGAGGTATGCATTAGATTGAACTTTGACAATTTTGTTTAAGTTATTTTTCAACAGATACCAAGCGCAAGATTTCTCCGGAACTATTGTGAACGAATTAAGTGCAGTTAAACCACCAAGACCGGCGTATACTCCAATATACAACCACTTAAATCACAATTGGGTGCATAAAATGCCGCCTCCTAAAGTAAGCCCCGTTGCTGCTAAGGTGAGTCATGCGCCTCTTATCAAGTCTGCTTTTGAAATTAAACATTACTTTTTTATTATGCCAGGAGGACATTGCACGGAGAGAAAAGAGACAGTATAAAAAGCGGAAGCATCGATCGGGGCAGAGTTCATCGAATAGTAATCGTGGCGGGGCTCTTTTGGAAAGCTCAACTCTTCCAGTCAGCTCTGAGGATGAGGGTGTTGAGCCGCTTGGTGGCTTGGCTTCGGACACTGAAGATGACGCAGACTCCGATGGACCTTACGCTTTCAAGCGGAAAAAGAACTGCGACAGTTTTCTTGCTGTGAGTGCTATTTATGCCTAAAGAAAATACTTAATTTTATCTAGAAAATTAAGAAATGCTAGTTTTTAAAACAAATATTTTTTTGAATTAGATTATCTAAAATTTAATCATTTAAATGTGCTTTAAATCTGATACAAAAAATGTTTAAATGATTCTTTTTCTGCTTTAGCCAAAACCTCTTGCACATGGTAACTGGCCATGGGCAAGTAAGGAGGATGGAGGAGACGGAGATGTCAAATATAGGTACACACTTGGTTCAATACGACGGCCATCGCCCAGGTGTGTTGGATTTGTCAGGCGCAGATTGGGCCGCGGCGGAAGGTAAGTTTTTAGCTATAATCAAAACACCTTTAAATTGAGTTATTCGTTGCCTAAATTAATGTGCGTTTTTACTAATTTTCAGAGTAATATTGGATAGGGCGACCTCGTCGCTGGACGACTATTGGTCCACCCTAGACTTCACAATTTTGGACTCTTCTGCGCCGAAAACGCCAGTAGCAGTTGAGACTGCGCCAGCTGCTGTTGCTGTCACTCCCGCCTCGCCAGGGCCTTCAGCACTACCTCCGACATCTACGCCTGCGTCCGTGTCAACTTCTCCTTCCAAACCGTCTACATCGACAGCTCCACCGCTTCCTTCCCCACCTGCCAACAAATCGGATCCGGAGCTGCTGGCCGACCTGACTGCTGACTGGCTCCACTTTTGTCCTGTTTACGAAGGTGGAGACGAGTTCAGTGACTGCCAATTGCCGTTCGAAGAGTTGGACGTGGAGGATACGGACTTTGAAATGGCGCCCTCGCAAGAGCCCAGTGCGGACTTGGATTTTTCAGAACTGTCGTCTTCGAAGTTCTCAGTGATCGATGCTTCAAGTTATGTTCCTCCCAAACCTGTATCACCCATTCCATCGACTTCATCTGTTGTTTTACCTCCGCCGCCTGTCCCACCGCCACTTAAGACTCAACGACTGGCCCTCAAGGATCGAATTTACCAGTTGCAAAATAACAGAGGCACAACTCCGAACGGGCCTCACAGTGGTGAGTCATACAAAACAATTGGAATTTCTCTAGAAAACTTTCTTATCTTATCACATTCTCTTATAATTTATTGGTCTTGGACTTTTTTTATGCGAAAAACATGAATGGGTGATTGATAGCTGTTTATCTTCTTCATTGTTTTAGTTAAAGCAGCAACTGGAATTCCTCAGCCAAACAACTCGGGCAGTCCAGCAGCGGTCACAGCACTTTCACCCCTCACCCCTTCGTGGACCTCGGATGCCCCCACCTCTTCACGACTGACAAAGCCGGTTCAGCCATCATCCACTGCAGAACCGTTAGTTGCACCTGGCCTTGGTGAAAGACTATTGGCTATACAGAATTTTTTATTACAGGGCACTCCCTGGAGAAGGTGGGGCTGAAATGAAGAAGGAATCACATATTCCCGATGAACAGTCTGTTGAGGCGATTTTAAGACATGTCATGGAGGTCACATGATAGTAGCCCCCGAAAGCAAAATTATTACCAGTAAACTCCTGCAGGCTTTTTGATGTCAACATTGAAAGAGGCTTGAGAAACACTGCTCTAGAACTGGTGCCGGCCTCTATTTCTGACTACGAATTCAAATAAGCTTTAAGACAGTTACAAGATGTATAAAAACAAACAAAAAATAATTAACTTTCTGTGATAATGTATAGTGTAAGCCTGGAGATCTTTGCCACCAAACCATGATATATCTTTGTTGTCTTTTATGTTCTTGTACTAGACCTTGTGTGCATTTATAATTGCAGTAGTCAAAATTTTTTAAATTATATCAATCTCAATGTTTTAACCCACTGTACTCTCCATGATGATAATGTCAAATAGTGGGTATTGAAATAGCCCTCCATGTGGGTAAATTGTAAAACATGTATGTCTCACACATGATATTCTCGTGTATACAAGTAACTAAAACTAAAAAAAAATGGCTCATAATTACACACAGTAGAATTCCTGCAGGAGAGTCCTTGTTTTTTTGTGTAACAAACATTCTGAAATCATCCTATTTTGATCTGGTGCTACTAAATTGACAACATGAAATGAATCGGGCGCCGCCACTTCAACTGTTAAACGTGAGAAGACTTCAGTCAGTGAAAATGGGAGCGAATATGTGCTTTTTTATAAATGAATTTAAACGGACTGTAAATATTGTGTATTGAAACGAAAGAATGTGGAGTTAACTTTCGGTTGTAACATAAATGCTTTTTAAGTGAATAGAAATTTCAAAAAGTCTTCAATGTGAACAAATTCTAGTTTTTCTTCTTATTTTAACATTAGGTTTTCCCCGTTGCGTTCCAAAGCGGCTTATTTGGAGGAGTCAAGGTTGAGCACTTTTAATCGGCATTGTGAAGCTCACGTAATGCTTATTTTAGTACAACAAGTAATTTAATTAATAGAAAAGCGGTTCCATAATTGGACGGACGCTCAGTCAAGATAGCATCATTTGTTTCGAAGGACGGAAGTAGATTTCGTGATAGTCCTGGATATGGCTGTGTGCCAAAAATTGACCATCTCCTGTCTGTGAATAACGCAATGTGATAGGGTGCTTCGCTGGTTGCAGATATGTGAGCGACCATGGAGCTGCGCTCTCAAAATCGTCAGCGAATTGCAGATGTGGGGACTCTGCAATGTTGCCAACATAATATATTCTACGAAACAAAGCTTTACGAAACTAAATCACGATTAATGACAAATATTTTGAAAAGAGATTTTGAATTCTCAATTTATCTGGTAACCTAATTAACATTTAAAAGAAAATATCTATTTAAAACGAATTTTTCACATTCTTTCTAGTACCATTCACTCGGTTCGGCATGCAGCAGTGGCAGAAATGGCGACGGCAAGATGGCAATAATGTGTGCGTGAAAGGAGTCTCTCGCCTTTTTAGCGGCTTCGTGGACGCCAGTGTGACCAGGGAGCTGATCAAACATGCGAGCCACGACGGTGAGGAGCAGGAAGAAAAAGGCATCGCGTTTTGATGAGTGACGACGATGCCGTGCCACAACGCCGGCTGAAAACAACCAGCCTGCAGAGGGTTGCTCGCACCGCGGCCACCCCGAGGTCCGTCGACCCGCCTGAACCTTCGCCCCTGCTCACTCCGTACCCTCTGCCCGCCCTTAGGAAGAACAAGCCTCCGCGATACAAACATTGGGTGAGAATTTCCTCTGAAAATTTTATCGAAATCATATCGCGTTCGAATGATGCGCTGGCGGTTGGTCCAGGCCGACTAAAAAATGACTCATTTTTTTTTGCGAGGCTGGAGATCATTTGGCCACCATGTGTGCACCACTGTGTAAATTTTTACAGCTTGCAGTGGGTAACCGCAAAAAATAAGAAATCGAGTCAGTTTATATCAACAAATACACATGCCTAAAAAATAAAAGGCTTAAAAATTGTGCACTTTCTATTTTTTTTTATTTATTTATTTAATTTTGGATTTTTTAAAATTTTTTATTGCCTTTGGAAATAAATGAGCCAATAATAGTAACTGTTGTGTAGTTAGAGTCTCATTAAGCAAATAGTTGTTGTGGCGACTGCAAATCGATTGGAACTTTGAATGGGTCGTTGAGCACGCAAATTGATCGGCTCAATTAAAAGTCAATTGATGTCAGTAAAGACACGCGACACATCCAACTACGAATGTGTGCATTCGGGCTGATAATTAGCTCTAAGGCAATTGAATTCTGGCTAAAGAGCGACGGACGGCGATAATTTGGTTTTACGGCACACGAGCTTTCGTTTTTATTCGCGCACTTCACCTTTTGCATTTTAAAAACGCGTCAAAATACACGACTTGAAATTATGCCGAGTTACAGTTACGCTTCTACAGACCGGCAGGTTTATTTAATTTTGCGCCTTTTAAGCTGTCAACGTTTCGGCCTGAGTGCTTGGCAGTTTGTCAGAGAGAAATACATAATATGCGTAAAGCGACAGCCGGTTGAAAAATGAACCAGCTTGGTGCCAACTGTCGTTTTGTTTTCGCCATTTATTAAATTGTACGTGCAAATATCATCTGTGCAAAGATTTATTTATTTCAATGACAAGAAATACTATTGCTGATTCACGTTTAAAAACGATATAAATAGTCTTATCCAGTTTGATTTCACTGGCTAAAGTTTTATCTGGGTTTTTCCACCAAAATTTTGAAAAATTTGGCTTTACGACATTGGAAAAAACTGAATACCTGCTAAAAACCAGCACTGATCAAAAAACTTAATTTCCTAATCGTGCGAATTTTCCCTTCACTCGATTTTTTTCTATTTTCTTCATACATGGAATAATTTTGTGAAGAATTAATTTTTTTTTTCATGATTAGAGTAGAATTTTTTAAAGGATTTTAGACCTCAAGTTTTTTCCAAGACATTCCAATCGTTTTGAAATATTTATTTTCAATGAACTAAGAATGGAATTATTAAATTTAAAAATTTACATTACCGTCAAATTTAGAAATGTATAAAAATCGATAAAAGTAGAAGAAAATTTTTGAGGATAAGACTTAATTGAAATAGTTTGAAAATATTTTATTAATTCCTAGCATTTATGGCCAGAAAAGATGCCAAACTATTTGAAATATTATTATTAAATTATTTATTAATTTTCAACGTCTTAAGCCGCTTTAATTTGTTCGGTAGCACCCTTTTTCCTTTCTTTCACAAGGTGTTTAATTATTAATTTAACTTTATCAAGTCAACTGATAAGAAGCCCACTTGCTCAGTACATTTTAGCAGCTATCTTTGTAATTGCCAGGCAAACATTGCGCAGGAAGTTGGCAAATATTTAAATGACCTGTTTTTCTGGTTTTTCTCTTCTCTTGTCTGGTTTCAAACCCATTTGTTGAATTTGTCGGTCAATAGAAAGACTTTAAATGTGAACTTATTTGAAAAAAAACTGTCCTCAAATAAAATAGCATGGATTTTAAATTTTTACAAGGAATTAATAATTTAAAGAAAATTTTATCCTCTCTTCTGAAAATAAGAAACTTTTAAACAAAAACACTATATTTGATAGAATAGAAAAAAATGGACGAAAAACTTAAGTAAATTTAGGCTTGTTGATTAGAATAAGGAAGTGTTTGAAGGAAAATTCAACCGCAAGCATGTTTCAACCCACACGCCTACGTTCATGTAAACCCTCAAAAAAGTCGCTGTCGCACTTGCATATGAAAGATAAGAGTTTAATTTTTGCGGAAGTTGGTATCAGCTAGGCAGTCTTCCGTAGACATTGATTGATCAATCTCCATCCGCCACTTGAAGCGACCACATCTCATTATTTCATATTTCAAATCAATGCTATTTTTATTATTTTTTGCTTCTAGTAACTGAACTCAAAATAATTTCAATTGCAGTTTGTGTGTAAGCTGGGAACGTAATAAATTTCCCTTGCAATATGTTGTTCAGTAATGATTATTTTAGAGTCAAAAAAGTTTTATAAGTCTTCTTTTGTGAAGCAATTATTTTCAAATATTTTTACGCCGATTGCTTTCTTTTTAGAGCATTAATTTTTGTTTTAGTTAAAAATGTAAATCAATGAAAAAATTATGTTGACAGATGGGTCGAGCGTACTCGCGGGGCCAGATCTACTCGGCCCTGCTCGTGGACAATTGCAACAACGTGGACGGGCTGGCCGACGACACGAGACTGCTGTTGGGCGACGACGAGTTCGCCGTCGCGCCCAAGAAGTCGTCCTTCTACGCCGTCTGCTGCATCTTCCTGTTCCTGCTGGTGCTGCTCTACATCCCCGTCTACTACCATGTCCAAGTCAGAGAAGGTAAAAACGGACATTTTTCTGCACTCGCTGTGCTGGGGATTGCGGTGTTCGGATCGATCGTGCATGGCCAATTCCAATTGTGTGTGTTTTTGTCCCACACTCGAAATTTGTCTGCTTACGGGTTGGTCGCCGCTTGTTCGCATCACACTCGCTCCGTCTGTAATTTAATTAATTTTAAATGTTTTTCCATTCCATCTTTGTTGCTGCGTTTTTTGTTTATCAGGAAACCTTTGTTTTTCTTTGAATAATTGTATCAAAAATTTAACCAGCGTGGGTCTTTCGTAAATTTTATTCTCAGCTTTCTTATTGTGCGTATTGTGAAAACATTTTCTTTTCATATGAGAAAAATGAAATATCTGATTATTCTCACAAAAGCACATAAAATTTAATGCAAGGATGGTCGTAAATTCAAATTTCGTCCAGAGTCTAATTGATGTTTTATGGTTTCAAAGTATAGTCATGCCATTTACTTCAATTAATCATCATTATCCAAGGTGAACAAGCTATGCAAAACGTAAATTAATTATTATTATTCAAATTAGTAAATTTACTTTGAGAGCTTCAGAATTAAGAAATAAGGCAAAGGTTTCCTTAATAATTTTGTGTTTTTGTCGACGGCGAAGAAAATGAACATGGAGTTAGTCAGTTTGTTGCTATTTTAATACAGAATAATGATCAAGGCGGGGAATTCCCAAATTTTTAATATTATCAGTCGTGGGCCTTATTTGGATTTATTGAGCTAGCTGAATTTTCATCAAATTTTAACAAAAGCTAAACAAAATTTGAAATCTTAATTTAAGAGTAAAAATGGCTTTGAAATTGAAACTTGTTAAAAACTCAAAGTTTTCCAAATTAAAGGTTTACATTTGGACATTTTAATTTGTTTACGAAGCATTAGTTTTCACGCTCAGCTACTGAATCCACTTTAAATTTCTTTTCGAAAGTTCTAATAAAATTAAAAATGAACTAAAATAAAACTTAATAATATTATTTAAAATAAAAATCTCATCATATCAATAGTGTTGCAACAACCAATTATTTTTATTAAATATATCACAAGTAATTTAATTAAATATTATATAAATACCATATTTTTAATTTTTTTTTTTATTATTTTGTATAACTAAAAAGAGACGTCAACTGCAAATGAGTTTATTTATTCTTATGGTATTTTTGACGATGGAAGAAAATTTTTTTTATGAACATTAAATTATGTTCACAACTCTGCAGAAACTTGCAATGAAAATCAACAATTTAATTTGTAGGCGGGTAAAATTTAATGGATTGTTTTTAGTGCTTTTCGTGACATTGGTGCTTTGCACGCATTTACCTTTCATTCCAAAATACATGTGAAAATATGAATAGACAAAATATGGCATAGACATTTAGGTGTGCTTGGAGGTAAATTAGTTTAGACGCGCGTGTTGTCCGCGTATTCCGAAGCCGTACACGATTTTCCCAAAGCAAAATTGGAGGCTGATGATGTTGTCTCAGTAATTTGCTTCCAAACATAGCGTTTGTGTGCTTTCATTGTTGGATTGTTTTCAGCAGATAAACCGTTAGATAGAGCAAATAATGACTAGTGATAAAATAAATACGAAACATTACTCTCATGAACATGTCACAGCAGCAGAGCGACATTCATCGATTTACCCGCAGAACGAGCTCCTCTAAAAATCCCCCGCTTGAATGAAAAACAAACTTTCCAGGCTTTGAAAATTAACCCGCAGGTTGTGCACGGATCAAAAGAGAATGAAAACGGACGCAGCGTAGAAAATGAAAATGATTAAACGACACTCGTTTGTGGCTTTCAGGCTTTTGGGGCGAATTTTGGAGCCGCGGTGCCGGCCGTGCCCATCCTAAACCTACCCACCAAGTTAAGTATTTCTAGCTGGAAACAAAGATCGCTATGCTGCTGCTGCTGACTCGCAAAACAATCTTTCACCTTGTTTCCTCAACTATGTGCTACTGTGTGTCTGTGCGGGTGGTGTTATGTACTCATTTTTTCACTCTCTCTCACACAAGGGAACTTTGCCAAGATTCAACATTTGCATACGAGGAAGGTGGCCCAAATAAGGAACAATGATAAATGATAATGTATTCCTTACTTTTCTAAGCCTGCCTCTTTGAATTGAGAAAGGTGACACAGTTTCCCAATTTTTTTCATTTCAAATGTTTGAACTTTTTTCACCAATTAAATGGTTTCATTGAATTCATTTAAAAAAAAAATATTAATTTACTATCTTTTGATTCTGATTCTAATGATTTTATTTAAAATTTTGTAATGAATTCAATCAAAATTTGTTCCAGTCTTGTTTTTTTTGGCATTTTACATTTAGACGATAAAATGAAATAAATTTATTTATAATAATCTCAAATATTCCTCATACAGTCTCATACTTTTTTTAAATTTTTTCTACCTTAAAATATTTTTTAATTTAATTTTTCATTTTTTTTTTACTGTTTTGACAAATTCATTGTTTCTGTTTCTTTCCACCTTCACTACCGTTCACTACTATGATTTTATTTTAATTACTCGCAGTAATATTTATTGGCCAAATTCCCTTGGCATTTTCTCACTCACGTACCACGCAATCATCTCTCAGTTCGCCCGTGGTGCTGGCATAATGGTTATTAATTTTATTCACCGCTTGCTAGTTTGTCTCGTGTGTGCACCTGTGAGTCTACTCGCACCGGTTTGGGCCGCCCGATTTCGCCAACTCCATTACTTCACGTTCGGTGGCAGGAAATCATCTTCTCGCTATTGTCTTTTGATTGCAGGTGAACTGTGAATACGACTTGGCCATACATAATTTATTAACTGTCGCTAACACTTCCTTGCGCGATTTCAGCCAAGTGTATCACATGTGTTGTGCAATTGATTAATATAAATATGCTCATAAATAACTTGTTGGTTTTAACCGGTGCTTCAAGCTTTCAGCTGGTTTCAGCCAAAATAGCAATTTTTATAATCCTTTAAAAAGCTAAACTAACACCAGAGTTCCTACAAATAATTTATTAGTTTACAGACTGAATTAATAAATTATTCCTCTGTAATATTTTGTTAAAAAAAAATTAAAATCAATCAGTTTTCCTCTATAATTATTTGATGATCTTTTTATTATAATTATGCTCATGTGATCACAAAACTGGAAAAAATTGTGGATTTTTTAATTTTTTATAGTCATTGAGTACAATCTATTGATTAATAAATAAATGCATTTTCAAAGAAATTTATTTTTAAATTTGGCTGCTCAAATTTTTATTACACGTATCAAATGAAAAAATCCAAACAAACTTCTTGATTTCAATTATTTTTTAGAGATTTAAACCAAAAAATTATTTTGATTGCTTGATACAGTCGCAATTTATTTTTTATTTTTTATCTTTCATCAGGCAATATATCATCATTTTTAAAGACTTATTACTAGAATAATTTTTTACTGTTTGCTTATCTAAATTTTTTGTAACTCCTGATCCTGACGCTGCAGATTTGCAGACAAACAGTCGGTGATTATTCACCCTTTCAGATCCATTCATCAACCATTTTCAAAACACTCGTTTTCCACCAACCGCTCCCTAGTCCGTGCAGCCGAAAGCTCTTTTTTGCCTTTGGCGAACATGACATGACCACCTCCATTCACAGTTGCAATCGATTATACAAACGACGCAATTTTTTTACTCTCACTTTGGCATGTCACTGACACGGAAAGAAGAATTTTCCTCCCAATTGTCCATCAATATTCCAGGCGTTTTCCCCACCTGTGTTTGCTCAACACGCTCTCTTTCTCACTACTTTTTTCTCTCACCCTACAGAATAGCTCACAAAAAAAAAAAAAAAATTAATAAAAATGAACGGCCCAAGGGTCCTTGTGTGTTTGTGTGCGTGTGTTGGTCACTCCGGTGTCGGCACTCGGATCTTATTTTCCATCGCTAGACCGCTCTTGTACAAAGTCTTTCCGGTTTGCGCCTCGTTGCTCTTTGAAATTCCAGTTCCGGAAGCAAATCGAGCTAATAGCCTTTTTTTCGGAAATTTCAGCACCCGTCGCAGGGTGGGAGCGCAACTCGAGCCGCAACCTGCGTGAGTACGTCCAGCCGGACAACGTGACGGCCATCATTGAACAGCCCTCGATCTGCGCCTCCAACGGCCCCATCCTTTTGCTGGTCATCATCTGCTCCTCCGTTGAAAACTTTGACGCTCGGCTGGCCATTCGAGAAACATGGGGTATGCAATTGTTATTTAATTTAAAACTGGCTTTTTTATTAATTTTTCTTTAAATATGAATAAGACACGTTATCTAACATTAATTTTATTGATTAATTTCAAATCTCAATTAAAATTTAAAAAAAAAATCAAATTAGAGTTAATGCTTATATTTGTTTCAGCTACTCAATATCAAAATAAAATGGACTGGTACTTTTTTTTATAATATTTTATTTTAGTATTTTTAATTTTAGCTGATTATTTTTTGTATTCTTAGTTATGATAAAACTGAGACCTGAACTAATTGTGTCATTTTATTTTAATGAAAATAATTTTCATCAAGGATAAACTTTTTTTTACTTCATGAAAGTCTCGCTGAGTGTCCACTTTATCTGTGAAATGAAACGCTTAATGAATAATTGCACTACTTCTGAGTCACTTGTCGAGTGACACCATATTGTAATTGAGCGCGTGAACTCTAATTCATTTTTATGTGTCGACCTCTGGCGTCCTCTGATAAATTATTCTAGAACGTCTCCAAGTGATAAAGTTCAAGTAGCTTAAGGGTGACTGCTTTCGTGGAAATCCACTTCGCACGTCGGATCATTTTTCCTTCTTCTTTCTTGATACATTGCTCGGCTATCTGACAGACTGAGCTGCTTCTGCTGGCAGAGGCAAAAATTCACGACGTTTGCGTGATCTCTTGGCAAAGAGGAAAATTAATTTCAGTTTTATCTCGCTGTTGGCACACAAGCCTCTTGAATTTTAATTTCCGGAGCGAAGAGATAGAGGATAGAGGAGTCTTAAAGCTCGTTGAGAGGATTCAAATTACTTTTAACAATAACAAGAATAAAATATTCATAAATAAATTAAAAGAAAAATATGAAATGTTTAAAAATATATAAATAATAGAAGAGGGCGAATTATTAAAATTGTGCAAGTAATAAATTTAAAAAAAAAAATCCAAAAATAAAATAATGTTTATCGTGGTGGAAATTACATTTTTACTAGAAGTAAAAATGTTGCACTTTTAAATAATTCAAATTGTTTGATAATCATTAAAGAATTGCTTTGAATTTTGTTAAATTTTTTTCTACAATTCCCATGTTTGCATAAACAATTGATTTAAATTATTGTTATCTTGTCAGGTTCTCCAGCAAACGTGAGCGACGAAACGCTGCGGTTGGCGTTTCTGCTCGGCGACACCGACTCCCTGGAGTTGCAGACGCGGGTTGAGGCCGAAAGTGCCAAGTACGGGGACGTCATCCAGGAGGGTTTCCTCGACACCTACAACAACCTGACCCTGAAGTCGGTGATGTTGTTGAAGTGGGTTCGCTCGCACTGTCGACACGCGCAGTATGTGATGAAGACGGACGACGACATGTATGTCAACCTGCCCAAGCTGATCACCTTCCTCCAAGAGGACCTGGCCAAATTCCGTCCTGCCAAGCAGCCCCCAGCGAAACCTGCCTTGACACCCACCCTTGCGACCACCGCCTTGCCTGATTTTGCGGAAGCCAAGAGCACCTTGCTTGTCGGCACACTTATTTGCGGTGCTCGACCAATTTCAAACTCAAGAAGCAAGTGGTAAGGACTGATCTTTATATTTATAACATAATTATAATTTTTTTTTATTTAATCATTTAAAATAACCAGATATAACCAAATTAACATAAAACTTAAAGGCAATTTGGAGGGAGGATAATTCAATTTTCTGTCTCATCTTTAAATTGTTACTTTGGCCCTTAAAATTAAATATCATAATCTTTTTTTAAATAAAGTGAAATAAAAATTAAGTTGATAGTAAAATATTTTCATCTTGTTTTTACTAAAAGTATTTGGCGAATCTTGTATTTATCACATAATTAAATAAAAAATGCAGGCGTAATTCAATTTTCTATCACTTTTGAAAAATAACTTAAGAAATTTTGTCCAATAAATCTATTTTTTTTCTTTTCAATATTCAATTTTCAATTAAAAAAAAAAAAAAAAAAAAAAAATCAATTATCCTTTTTTTAATCAATGAACTAGAAAAAAAATAATTTATAATTGTATATTTTTGGATTGAAAAAGAAAGTCATTATTAAATCAGGACTGCAATACACACATTTAATTAATTTTAGTTAGAATCTTCTAATTAATTTTGCGTATTTCAGGTACTCGCCCAAATACATGTTTCCGGATCGGACATACCCCAAGTACCTGTCAGGCACAGGCTACGTCATGTCAGCGCAGGTGGTGAAGAGGCTGTACGAAGCTGCCTTGCGGACGCCGCTGTTTCACCTCGAGGACGTGTACATCACTGGCCTGTGCTCCAAGGCAGCCAAAATTCGGCCGCTGGACAACGCTGGCTTCAGCTACCAGAAACGCAAGCTGGAGCCGTGCGCTTACCGCAACCAGCTGTTCACCAGCCACCACATGAACAGCACCGACATGCGGACGGTGTGGGCCACCGTGCAGAACCCGAGCCTTGTGTGTCCGAAAGTGGTGCCGACCGCCAAAAAACCCACCAAGAAGGGCAAGAAAATTTCGGTCTGTGTTTGATACGTGAAATATCTCAAGTGCCTGAAAAGCCTGAACTCCATTATTCGACTTGAAATAATGATTAACTTAAATTATTATATTGTATAAATATATATTCGATCCAAGTAGGCGGATTCGGACGAGGCGATGCTGCGAATTCTGCGTTTGCAAAAGGCGGCGTCAGGGGTTTTGCACAAATTACAAACTGCGATCTGAGAAAGAGAGCAGGTAGATGACTGAAAAATGAGGTTGTGCGTTAGACTAGGCATTACGATAGCTCATCTTGGTTCTTGATAGTGCCATTGTGTCATCAGTTCTTCTCATATTTTTTTTAACAACTTGTAACATAATCTCATTTTAAACTGCAAAACATCACATTAGAACGCCCCTGAATTTTGTTCCTAAAGATGTATTGTATATTTCGCGTCACTTTTGCCGAAGCAGACTTTGCCGATCCCACGTCCGAAAAATTGCATGCGATTTCAAAGGAAAAGTTTATATCACTCTTCGATCCCGGCCTAATCGTAAGAATTACTAAATACCAAACATAGGAAAGTGTAGCTATGAAGACGCCTGCTGATTCTCTTCCCGTGCTAGAATCAAAGATAAAAATTGAAACGTGTGATGAAAAATGAAAGAAAAATGGATAATAATCTACCGCATTCCTAAGCTAGATTTTTCTTTGCCATTTGGTGCACAGATTGTTTGTTTGACTCCCTGACTTAAGTATTGTGTTGAAATAGGTGCTTATTTTTAAGAAGAGATTTCCATAAATTTTACTTTCAAGCCCCATTCTCACTTCTTGTAAGATCTGGAGCTAGTTAGTGCTCACAAGTTCGACTGAAAACAATAAGGCAAATTGAGTTTAACACCACTTTTTGCCGATACGCTTGTTGAATGATCTGATCACAATTTTACCGTTTTATTTAATTATGGAACGTTTAAGTATTTTTCCTCTTATTGGACGCAAAAGTGGAGGTGCTGAAATTATTGATTTGAAGAAAAACAAGTTTCTGTGAAACATCAGCTATATAGAATTACGGCTTTTCAATGATGCTAAAATTTTCAAACAAATCAAAAACTTTTTCTCGTGAATCCTCGCCTACATAGTTTAGGATAAACTTGATACAAGATTTTTATTTTAGTTCTTAATAATCAACTCGATGTTTTGCGAGTCATTTCCAGTAAGATCTGTATTCAACTTTGAATGATTGCCATTGATTGCCGTGAGCTAATTTATAATTTGAAAGTATGCCAATTTTGCTTGTGTTTTCCCTTTGTAATCTCTGAAGCCATGTATAACCTTTCATCAATTACCTTTCCAAGGTGCTAATATGGAAAACTGTAGTCTCAATAGAATCTCTCTCCAGTCCACTGATGGATTCAACATCAGCAAACTTGTATAATTTTACTCATTTCAACTCCTCAAATTGCCAATAATAATTATGAATTCTCAATCTGCTTCATTAGTTTTCCTGTAAGTCACAGAGTTTTGGATTTTAGTCAATTGCTAATATTGTAATATTGTGATAAAAATGAAATGTTTCTTTACTTTTAATGATGAGATATTGTAAGAAATAATTAAAATAAAATGTATATCATTATATCAATTTTCCAAATTTTTTTATTTAAATAACATCAAGTAGGCAGAACTTCTTGCTTAACTAATTATTGAATTATTTGATTTGAATCAACGTATAATTTGAAATTATAAAATACGATTAGCTTTTGTGTTATTTTACTTAAATTATTAAAGCATAAAACTGTAAAAAACACAAAAAAGGGAGTATTTAAATTTTTTTATGATACTTACCAACTAGAAAATATCATAGTATAGTGTAAATAAAAAAACTCCAGTTGCTTTGATTTATTTTCAATTTAATCAACCATTTATTTTCAGATTTTACAAAACACAATTTTAGGTATTTTTTATGTATGACATATAAAATTTTGAGATACAGTAGAGTGGAAGAGGATAAATATAAAAAAGGACAAAGAGTATTACATGAATAGGCGACACCTACCAACATGGCAATAATTGTTATTAAATATTAATACAAATGGCTGTTTGTACGAAGATACCGTCAAGTGAGCTAATCTTAATCGCAAACTTTGCTAAGTCTCCTACATGTTTAAACAAAAAATAAAATTTGTGTGGTGTGTTGTTTTGTTGCAGATCAATGACTTCATTGATTGAGATTAGTTGCTACGCTAGATGCCGTCGGTTTATTGCAAAAGTAGAAAATGCAGAAAAAGCTGCCTGCGATTTACAAAAAATAATAATTCACTACAAAATTAATTAGCTAAATGAAAAATTAAGTTCTCCGCGTTCATCGTAATATGGCACAATCGTTTTTCTCATAAAAGCATCCAAGAGGTAGGTAAAATTTCCACAGTAACCTAATTCAAATAGTACATAGTCACATTTAGAAGTTTAGCCATTCGTGCTGATTTTTTTTACCGGTTTCCATTCAGGCTCGTCAATTTTCCACAGAAAGCCGTTGTGCTTCTACAATTTAGCTCGTTATATAAAATCAGTCAACATGTTATTTATAATAATTTATATATAAATTTAAAAACATTTGCATCCACTTGAAATGCGTCCGTCAACGTGTGTCACTTACGACTACAGATCAGATGGACGTGGTTTTCTTTCTTTCTCGCACAACTCGAGACAGGTCTTTTTGTATCAAAAACCAAATCTCTTTTAATTTTTATACATATTATCTACACAATAATTTTTCTGCGTCAGCAGCGTCTTTACAAGGTGAGATCTCAGCATTCAAACTCCTTGGCGGTTATGGCGTCTAAGTCTTTCATCAGCCCCTCCAAGTTTGCCATTTCCTGGTTCAACTCTTCTGTGCTCAAAGATGGCTAAAATAGGGCAAATGAGCATATTTCACAATGAAAATGGAAAATTTTCTAACCTGCAGCCTTGTGGTCTCGTTGGGCATTTCGTTCTCACCCCAAGAGGGAGTGAGCAGGGGAGTTGTGCAGTTGGAGACGCGCCCTGCGTCGGAGCCTCTCTTCAGCGAGGACATGCCAGGAGGCAGTTGTGTTGCTGCAGGCAGTTTATTCTTGTAGGGGCTGGACTGCCTGATGCCAGTGCCTGCCTGTGGAGGTGGAGCAGGCACACTGAAGCTCTTGAGGGGGTGGCCCTGCATGCGCTTGCCCAGCGTGTTTGTGTCTCCGTTGCCACTTCCTGCGGCCAGGGCGCTGAAATTATTTTGAAATTAATTTCATAAAATTAAAAAATTAAAATTTTATTATATAAAAACTACTTTAAGTTTTTATTTCAAATTTGTTAGGTTTAATAGAAAAAAATATCAAATTAAAAACCTGTAATTTGATGCGTGTGCGCCTGATATATGTGCGTGTGGTCTGTCGACCGAATCATAGCCGCCTTGCAGGGAGTACGGATTTTCAGAGATGGTTGTTGATGCTGGGAAAAATGATGTTTAAATACTTATTCAGAAAAATTTTCATTATAAATCTTACAAGCAACTGTTGAAGTGCCAGGGTCGAGGGTAACATGGGCTCGCGAGACAGTGTACTGCGTACGGGGATAGGGCCTTGGATCATTGCTTGAAACGGATGAGGCTGAAAATGTTCAAAATTTCATAGAAATTATCCTTCAAAGTTTCACCCCAAACCTCTAAAGCTGCCAAAGTTCCAACCCAAGAATTTATCATAATTTAAAATCCCACACATTTTTTTTTTAATTTAATACAAAAATTTAAGGAAATTGATATCGTCTAGTGTAATTGAATTCAATTTTCCTCAAATTTTGACTTTTTTTGACACCACACTTTTAAAATACAGGAAAAGACAAGCATGCAACAAATTTGAGTATTTATAAAAGTACAAAAGGGTTGATTTGATTAGTAAAGATATAGCAGCTGTGCAGGAGCAATGTTAGTGCAGGGAGCGTACCTGAGTCTCTCTGGATGTCCATGTGCAGTAATGTGGCGTCCACATGCACCGATACAGGTTTCGATCGACGGGCAGTCGAGCTTCGTTCGTCGTCGCTGAGGCGACTGCTGTTGCTGCCACCGCCTAGTGAAAGGGCAAATCAAGGTGCAAACGTGGAATATCATGCGGGTTTGTAAGCAATGGTAAAAGCCAAGGGACAAAAACGACTTGACAAAAGGGGAATTCCTTGTAAAGCACAAATTTTGAAGAAGTTTACCTTGAGAGAGGTACGAGGGCACATAGGTTCTTTTGTCAATTGAGCTTGTGTTCGTTCTTGTAATTTGGGGTGGATCGGAAGAAGGTGGCGAATCCTGGTCCAAGGGGTCTTGAGAGGAGCTGCTGCTCTGACCGTTTTTCTGCTCCAGAGCCTTCAGTTCCATTTGGTCATGATGGATCCACAGATCTGGAGGTTTGATGTTCGGCTTTCCTTTTTGTACACTTAAAAAAAAGTAATTTTAGAATCAGATCAGGATTTTGGGAAAGGTCATGATACATTTTCTTGTTGCGTTCAGGAGATTCTTCCTGCTTTTTCCGACAACAGACAAAGATGGCAACTGAAGACACCAACAGAAGAGCAACTAGACCTACAGCAACCCCCAAAAGCATAATGTTCGTTTGCCCTAATCCACCTGGGCCGCCATGGTTGTGCACAGAACCGTGAGAGTAGCCTCCAGTTGCTATTGAAAATCAATTTAAATTTTCAAGTCCAGAAAACAATTTTTTTAGCTTACTGTATGGGGTCTTGAAAGTGACAATATTGGAGAAAGGACCGTAGCCCATTTTGTTCCTAGCCTGGATGCGGAAATAGTAGGTAGTGTCAGGGTTCAAATTCTTGATGGATGTGGTCATTCTGTCTCCACTGATGTCCTCCATGGCCCAGTCTTTCTCTGGCTTGTTGTGGTCTATCGTGTATGTGATGATGTAGCCAACAACCTGACCATTTGGCGTTTTCGGGGGCTGCCAGTTGAGGTTGACGTTGGTGATGCTACCCTCGGATGAAACCACAGTCAAGTCCCTTGGGGCTGTGGCAGGAGATGCTTCCTGAGTTGTGTTGTAAACAACCATGCTCCATGGACTTTCACGGTGGGCCTGAATTTTATTTTAATTATTAAATTAGATATTAAAATCAAATAATTTTATTTTTACCTTGACAACTTTGACTGTGAACTCGTACTGAGTGTTTGGCTTCAGGTCAACAATAACCGTGTTCAGTTGAGTGGTGTTGGTGTACTTGTAGCGAGGGTTGGAGGAATGGTGGTACGAAGTGTATCGGACAACATAATGGCGACCGTCAGTCACTTCCTGGTTTTTCGGAAGCTGTGAGTCCGTCCAGTAAACGACAACAGACTGAGCAGTCAGCACAACAGCCTCAAGACCAACTGGAGGTAAAAGAGGAGTTGCCACTTCCAAAATAGGCTCCTCTCTGGTTCTCACACTTTCGTAAACTGGCTGTCCATCACCCATGTTGTTGTAGGCCCTCACCGAAATAACATACTCGGAATTGGGTTCTGTTGGTAACATATTTTTATCAAAGAGAATTTCAGATAATTTAAAAACTTACTCAAATTTTGGATGTGGTAGTATCTCTGCTTTCCTTCAACAACCTGACTGAAAACATCAGGTATTCCTGGTCCCCAGCCAATGGTGTATCCTCGGACCATGACATTTTTGCCTGGAGCTGGCGTCCAAGTGACATGAACCGAATCAGCAGCTGGACGAACTCTGAGATTGATGGGCGCATCTGGCACTTTTGACTCATCCAAATCATTATCCAAGGTGGAGACAGAAAGCCAGTCGGTTGGAGGGCCGGTTCCATTGGCATTCAGAGCCCACATCCGCACTTGGTACTCTGCGTCTCGGTCCAACTCTGTGATGACGTACATTCTTCGATTGCCAGCCGTTGAAACGGTTTCACCTCCCTTGTTTCGGCCTTTCCGTTTATATCTGATTTTATATCCATTGATTAGTCCATTCTGAGTGTGTTCTGGAGGTGGCTCCCAACGCACAACAATACTCTGTGAGAGAAATAAACCAATTATTTTCAGTGTGAATTAAACAAAACAAAAATTACCGTCGATGAAGCAGCCTCCAAGGTTACATTAGACGGAGCCTCATCTGGAATGTCTCCCAAAGTGCGGGCAATGACTTGTTCAGTGCTCGCACCTGGCTCGTGGTTTGGCGAAAAAGCAACAACCCAAACAGAGTATTCCGAGTACTTCTTCAGGTCTCTGACTTCAAAGGAGGTGTTGTAGGTGACGACGTGGTGTTCGACTGAAGAGTCTCCTTGCATGTAGAACATTTTGTAGTAACTGACCGGGGCCTCTCCACCCTCTGGAGGTTGCCACTCTGATGCAATCGATGACGAGGAGGTGGCGTAGACCTTCAGGCTTTTAGGAATGCCAGGGACGTGTGCTTCGGCCAGGGTGGACGCCTCGATTGGGTCTGAAAGTTTTCCGACGCCTTGCGAATTGATGGCCGCCACTCTGAAGACATACGTTCTGGTGGGAGTGAGCCCAGAAATGCTGATGTCAGGCCTGCTCGTGTTGGCCACCCTTTCTCTGCAAATTGCGAAAGATGAAACTTTATTCACAAAACGGTTAAAATAGATCTAGTTACCTGTCTGAGTCTTTCAGTTTGTAGTAAACTGAGTAGGCCAAGACTGGAGTGCTGCTGTGTTCTGGCTCTTTCCACTTGAGAGTGATGAAGCGCGCATTTGTAAACGGAGCCATCACCTCTTGAGGCTCAGTTGGCACGTCGGTGAACGCAGATTCACCTAGTGGGGCACGTTTGGGAATGATGTTCTCTTTTGGGTGATGCTGATTGTGAGACAACTTGTTCATGCCTACCATGCAAAATAAGGAGAAAAATAAAACATAAAATGAAAAATGAAAATTGCAATACACCAAAAAATAGAAATAGAATAAAATATAAACAATTTTCAAACAAAAAATATAGCATAATGTTTCTAATCTAGCAAAATAAATAAATATTGAAATGAGATTTACCAGGCCTCAAAACTGTTAAGCGTGCTGCTGCTTGAACTTCCCCTGCAGGATTGGATGCGACGCATTGGAATATTCCAGCATCCAAAGACATTAAACCAAGTATCCTTAAATTATTTCCATTGAGCACCTACCAAGATTACATTTAAAAAGATGAATTTTTTAATCTAACCAGAGCAATACCTGCATGTATTCATTCTGTTTGATTTCCTCTCCATTTTTCAGCCACACCACCCTGGGCTCAGGGTGCCCTTCAACGTCACAACTCAGTTCCAAATCCTCCTTTTCTTCAGCAAAAGAATCTTGTGGACGTTTCTTGAAATTTGGAGGCACTGAAACAACATTTGAAATAAGCAATCTCAACATGTGTTGCAAAATTTCTCAACGTGTGTTGTGAAATTTCTCATCATGTGTAGCGAAATTTCTCAACATGTGTTGTGAAATTTCTCAACATGTGTAGCAAAATTACTCATCATGTGTAGCGAAAGCAAAATTTATTTTTAATGAAATTGACACCAACCTTGAACGTCAAGATTAGCCATAGCATCTAGAGAGTCTTCTTTGTTTTCAGCTCTGCACTGGTAAGCACCTGCGTCTCTGACCTGAACATTGCTGATTTGCAGAGAGCCCGTCCCGATCAGCAAAAATCGGCTGTCCAAATCACTTCAAAGTAAAATAAATTTATGTTTACGTGAAATTAATTAAAATAATCTCTTACGCAAAATCAATGTTGACTCCATCCTTAAGCCAGGTGACCCAGGGCGTTGGATTTCCTATCGCAGCGCACCCCAAAGTGACCGTGCTGCCCTCAATGACCACCGCACTTGCCGGTTTGGCAACAAACCTCGGCGCCGTCGGATGAGCAAACTGGTCCTGCTGGACGGTCAGCTTGGCTTTCTCGCTCAGGGCGTGTCTGTTGAGGCTGGTGGCGTTGCACCGGTACATTCCGGCGTCCCAGTACTCCACGTCGCTGATGTCCAGCGAGCCGGACGGCAGCTGCATCATGCGCGTGTCGTCCAGAGTAAGCACCTGGTCGTTCTTGAGCCAGACGACGGACGCTGGCGGGTTTGCTTCTACGCCACAGACCAAGTGGGCGATTTGTCCAACGTGGACGGTTTGACTCTGAGGCTGTTGACTCACGTGCGGGCCAACTATTTGACGAAAAAGAAAATAAATCTTTTGATAAAATATTGGTTAAAAAATTAATAAAATTAATTAACTAATAAAATTATTAGTTAATTTTTTTCAATTTTAACTGAAAAAAGCTTTTTCCAATTTCCCTCACCCAATTTTGGATTCCAAATTATGTTTGAAACCAGGAGAGCTAAGAATATCCCAGACGATAATTGAACAATTTCACTCACAAGCAATAGAGAGGTTGGCCTTCCTGCTGGCGATGGTGCCGACGCCGTCGAGGTGCACCAGACACTGGTAGGTGCCGAGCAGGGTGGACATGCCGATGGGCACGCTGCTGAAGAAAAGTGTTCCGTTGCCCAGCTGCCGACGAAGGGAGTCGCCGATGAAATTAAGCACGCTGCCGTCGGGCCCACGCCACGTGATGAACGAGGACGGATAGGCCGCCGAAGGTTTGAGCACGCAGTGCAGGGCCGCCGAAGAACCGGGCGGCACAACCGTGTCCTGCGGCTCCTCACTGAACTCAAGAACACCTGCATTTGTCCGAGCTGCAACAAAAGACAATGATTGTTTTCATTAATTATTCTCTTAGTGAACAAAACGTGATGAAATTATTTTATCATTAAAATCGAGAATCATGTAAATATTTTGCAACAATATTGTATTGAATTTTAAATAAAGAGAAAAAAACATGGAAATAAACTTCTCTATACAATTTTATTTAATAAGTTACTTTAATTTTTTACATTCTGTCGTTTCTGGAAGAAAGTCAGATGTTTCCCAACCGCTGCAAAGATTTTTCTCTTTTTTAAATTTTTTTTCTTTTAATGATGGAAACAAATCATTGAATTGAGAACTTTTGAAAAGAATAATTAAGAATGATTTGAATTCAACTAATTTTATTGAAAAATTCTTTTGAAATGCGTATTTCTTTTGATTTTATCCAAATTCACAGAAAAGGCGCAATTAAAACTTCCCCACAAATAAAACCAATTTCTCAACACCCAGAATGAATTAATCGCAGAAAGTTCTTGGCCACAATTGGGAGAGGGTTGAGTGTAAAAAACCGCACTTCTGGGACACCGCCGGATGAATAATTACCATAAATTCAAAAGCGAGCCCACCGCAAAAAAATATTCTGCCAGCAAATCTTGTTAGTGTAAAATACGACGACGGCGTTTTCGGGTTTCAGCAAAACGAACAAAGTGCACAGCGAGCGCAAGAAAGTTCGATCAAACAATAGCGCGCCGGTTGTTATCTCAATCTGCTCCTTTTGTCTCTTCCTCTCCTTGGAATTTGCGGAAAAACACCAGCGCAACTAACTTTCCGCCGACTCGATCTTTATTTCTTTCTTTCCATTTTGCACGCTCGAGAAAAGTTTCAAACTAACTTGATCTCTTTCAGCAAAAGCTAGGTGGTGCGTCTTTCAAACACAAAATTGGAGCTTTTCTGCTTATCCGTGCGAAAGGAGATTTTTAAAATGCACGATATGATCCGGCAACAAACTGCGGAATGCATAGATAGAAGAAAAGCAACTTTTCTCATCGGCCAGCGCAGCAATTGCGAACGTGCCAAACATGGCAATAAGCAGCTCCACTTTTATGGCGCGGCTTTTTGGCACAGCTTATTTCCTTTGTTTCTTCGCCCCCGCGTAATCCACTTTGCAAAACATGATCCTTCTTGGCATCGCCTCCGAATTCAATCAATAGGATGGAGTGACTAATGACACACATACATCCATTAGCGCGGCAAAAATGGCGAGATGACATTTCGTCAAGGAATATAATGTTGCCGCCGCGGGCCAAAATAACTTTCCCCCTTTTCCCTTCGCAGTGATTTGAAATCAATATTATGTGAAAGAGCAGCCAAGGGTACATTTTGTATGAATTCGCTCTTTCGAAAAGGCACCCCTTCTAGCCTTTTACAGCAGGAAGAGATTTGAGTGGCGTTGTCATTAAGGATGATGTCTGTTCGCGCAGAGATTGTCATTATTATTTCCTCCCTGGGAAATTGGAACGCACTTTTGCCGGACTTGAGGCGAGCGACACGCTTTCAAGGAAGTCCGACTGCCAAGAAGATTTTTCCTCTGGAGAAATTGATGAGACCAATATAGTTTTTCATAAAAAGTGAGAGTATGAACGAGAGGGAAATGTCAAAAGAGACAGGAGATCTGTTTTGGCGCCAGATTGGTCCATTGGCCATTATCGACTAATCGGGTTAAATTTTTTCATACAAAATATACGTATATAAATTCGAGTCTTCAAAGTGACCGGAACGTGATTTAAATCTTTCTTTTCATCATAAATACTGGATTATTGAAAAAAATACAGGTTTATTTATTGAATCAAATTTTTCATAACTTATTATTTATTTATATTTTGATTTTACAAACTGAGAGTATTGCATTTTTTTCCCAAGAAAACGTTTACAAGAACTGTTCAATCATCACCCACTCGTTCACCAATCAATTTAAAAAGAATAAATAACCAACTTTATTTTATGTGAATTTTTTGAATATAAAATCAATAGCTCTTCAAACGATTTAATTCAGTGCAAACTTATTTGACAGAAGTAATATTTGCAAGAAATTATTATCACCTGAACCAAATATGATGTATGAAATTATCGTTTTTAGGAAATATATTTTTCATTTCCGTATAATATTCTTATTATAAATTTGCACGCTTCAAGGCGTGTAATCTAAACAAATGAAGGTCTAGCAAAAATATTACATGTTATATTGTTTGTAATGGAAAGAAATGCTATACAAGGGAGCTCATTATTTTATTTTACCCTTTCCAAACATCCAATTACTTTATCTATCGTTCCAATTAATTCCTTTTGAAATTCACATGAATGATTGCTGATTGCATTCGGTGAAACGAGTGGCGTTGATGATTGAACAGTTCTTGTAAACGTTTTGCCTTTGAATTTGGAAAAAAAAGCGAGCGACGCTGCGGGAGATCGATGCAATTGCGCTGGCCGCGGGGCACAACAAATTCATGAGCTGACCATAATTACGCTCTTGGCGTGGAAATTGAATTCGGCGAAATGTGCGCGTTCATTTCAGCACGCCGCGTTTTCGGGCCGTTCCCGAAATCCAATTTGCGCGGCGGACATGCAACCCTCGGCCGGCCTCATACTGCAGTGTTCTCACGTCTGGAGGCGCGAGGCCTGATTCCGAGAGAGAACAGCACCTGCTGTCACCTTGGCAAATTTCTTCTTTTTCTCTTCTAAATAAATTATCAACCGAAGAGAAGTGGACCGGAATAGACAAAGAGCTTGCGGTGCAGGCGGACGTCGTGAATTTCAATCAAGGCGCAACGGACAGAGAAAGCCAATTTCCTAATTACCGCAATCAATCGTGCGCCCTTCGAGTGTGTCCTTTGCAGCCGATCGGGCGGAAACGCTGTCTGTCTCGCAACATTGAACGGTTCTCCGATTGTGTTTTGCTTCTGCAACCACCAACGACCAACCCTTCTGGCGCAAACAGGAATTGCGGCTTTGCCAGTTTATCGTGAATAACAAAACTTGAGCTAGGGTGTCAGTTGTGCTGCAAACATACATCATAGCGTGTTTGCTGGTTGGCAAAAATTCCATTTGAAATGTTATTGATTTTTAACAGATGAAGAAAACAAAGTTTTGTGGGAATTACTTGATTTTTGGAACTCCTATGAATTATGAGACTAAAGAAGTATCCTAAATAAATTAAAAGTGACAAAGGAAAGCCTATGTCGTTTGTTATTAAATTTGTGATTACTTAATTTTTGGAATTTTCATTTTTTAATCTCTATGTTATTTCAAACCCATTTAATAATTTACAGAGAATTATACAGACTTTTATACAGTGCTTTTGGGTATCATGAATTAAAAAATATTGCGCTTGAAGCCGTGTGATTTGTCGCAGGGTTATGTAGATTATTTTCTTTTAAATTTTTCAAGAAAAATTGTTATAATATCTGGAGCTAAATTCGTTGCTGAAATTTAGAACAATGTAGTGAGTTTTGCAAAAAAACAAATTTAATTAAAAGCAAAAACTTCAAAGTAAAAAAGAAAACTACATTTCAAATTTCAATTAAATTTTCAGGCAGAGTCTTTATTTTTCAAAAGAAGCCCTGCTCGGTTAACTTAACAAATTTAAAAATATTACATTTCTTTTGAAAATTCATTTACATATTTTTAATTTTTTTTTTCAACGTGAAATTTAAAAAAAATCCAGAAAAACTGTTTTCTGCTTGCGTTAAAGCAATTCGCATGAATTTGCTTATGAAAACTCAAAAGCGAGCTAACAAGCGCGGGTTTCTCCGATTCTCATTACACCTCGGGAAACCGCAGCAGAGGCAATGAATAATGCACCAAAAAGTGTCAGCACACTCTCCGTTGCGAGTGCGGTTGCGCCTTTTCCAACAAAAAGGTCCGCAAATTTTCGCCTTCATTTGCAGGCAGCCCTCGTTTCCCTTTGCCACGTGAGAGCGAGAGAGAGACCAATTTCCTTATTAACAAAGCAGGGCGGAATCAATTTGCAAGGTGGCCCTTTGCAATCAGAGGCCTTTTCCGCATGTGCTCTTGTAGTTAGCACGCGAGTGGTAATTTAATTTTTCGACCGGTCACAAACAGAGCAAGAGCGAGAGAAAAAAGCTGAAAGGCCTTTCATCGACAGTCAATATAACAAATAAAACCAAAAAGCTCTGCCCGAATAACAGTGAAAAGGCCTCCGTGATGGGGTTAATGTTCCCATCGGGCGCCGTTTCCATTATATGCTCTTCATGCGACGGCACATGCAGGGAGGAGTCGCGCTACGTATAATCACGGTGGAGAGGCTCGACGCGCGTAATTACCGCCGAGTCGAGGGGCTGCGAGACGATTGCACGTGCCGCCGAGCAGAGTTTTACATACAGAAAATGTGAACATGGCGAGCGGAAAAAAACGAGGTGCGAGCGAGAGTCGGAAATAATGACTTGCAGCGTCGGCAGACAATGGCCTTTCTTTCTGGCTCACTTGACGGCGTCGTCGTCTTCGGCGACACAAGGTAGCGTCGCTTTGACTGGTTTTTCTGCTTCCAACTATTGCTGCCTAGGGAGCTGCTTGGTTTTTATGGACTGCAGCGCAAAAGTGGGGCGAGTTCATTTTGCAAAGTGAAAAATGATGCACATGAACGTAAAAATTGACCTAGAATGTGCTTCATAAATATAAAACGTAATGATAATAAAAGCAATTTTTTTTTTTAATTTTAAATTTTCAGTGAACAATTGCCAAAATAAAATAAAAATGATAAGGTGGAAATTTCAGAGTGATTATTATATAAATGGATCCCCCCCCCCCACTAAATAGCTGCAAAATTAAAATTTTTAGATAACATTTATTAAACATAAAATTTATTTTTAGTTTTTTGCGCTATTTACGACAAATTAACAATTTTTGCACTGTATCCGAATAATTAATGATACAATACCAAAAATTAAACTTTTGAGCGTTAATAAATTTAGGAACCCAAAAAATTACTTTGCAACTTACTTATTTCTAAATTTAGGTGAAGAGTTTGGCTTTC